ATCATAATCCTAATAATACTTGAAAAAAGATGTTTTAGTAATAGTATAAAATTGACCAAACAAACTATTTAGTACTACGGTCTAGTGATATTCATCTTCACTTGTAAATGAGAGATCTTAGATTTGATTCTCGTCAAAAGTGGATTTGAATCACATTATTTGCTAGTCCATTATGAGGCTAAACTCATCCCCTCAAATGGCCAAACAAAAATTTCATGTAAAACTCAACATGAATATCACAAACAAAAATTGCATCTTAAAAAAGCACTGTGTTTGAAAAGTTTCATGATCATAAACAAGAAACGAAAACTAAAGACACATATAAGCATCGAGAAAATTTTAATTGTGACGGGAACGCGGGTGGTACATTCACGTGTTTTTATGTACGTAGTGGAAAATTATATTTTTTAAGTTATTAACTTTTTGACACACATATCCCACTATTTAATATTTATGTAATGACATGTGATATACCATCTCGTGTGACTATTACATTGAAAAATCTCTGTATAAGCATCTTCTTGTATCTACCAAAATTTAAAGCACTTTAAAGTTTTAACAAACGTCAAGCTATATGTGGTACAATAATGGCCTCCATAAAAAGCTATTCCCAAAGAAAACCACGCGGCAATAAATTTATAGGAAAATTAATGAAAAAGATTTGAAAACTTTGAGTTTTAATAAAAACAAAATAAAAGGTAAAATGAATAGTATCTTGATTGACTTTTTAATGTAAAAATATGGTTTTTCGTCAAAGTGAACAGTACCATAAACTTTTTGTTAAAACTTTCTAAATTTATAGCTCGAGCGAAGAAATCAAGTGCCCCCAAAACTCACCTTATCAGCGATTGAGCATTTTTGTTCACCACTATTTTGTATGGTGCATACTCATTATCTTATTTATCATTATTAAATAAGTTTGAATTTTGAAATTCAAACTAAATCACATCGGATATGCTTAAAATTAGTCTTGCATGGTAAAATCCACTCAGCCCAAAGAGAGAATAAAGTAAGATAAAAATTGAAAATATGGATTTCAATTGTTGGAGGTAATTGAGAAGTGGGCAAGCTTTTTGGTGGTGGATACAGAAGCCATGTGTCATCTCACAGATGAAAAATCCAATGTGGGCAACAATGGAACTTTCCCACCTCTGCTGAAATGGTGACAACCCACTTACGTTAGTGGTCCTGCTCCGGAGAGAGGTTACGTAATATAGGGTACGGAGTTTGTGAAAATATCTTAAATTAATAATGTAATATTATGTGTTCTAATTTTTTTATATAGATAGTATTATTAGATTAAAATATCGTCATCATGATTGTATATTTGGTCTAGCTGAGAAAACAGTTGCGTTTCTTTATCACCTGTGGGACTTTCCATATCTCTATCTCTAACATCGTATGACTATGTATCAGAGATAATTGTTTCGACGATACATAATAGTTTTTCAATGTAACGGTATATCTACTTCCGCATACAATGGTGTTGGGATACTGCTGTGGTCGGCCTACCAAACAAGAACGCAGTCCAACATCAAAAGTTTACCCTTACAGTCATCAAACAATACAATGAACTTGACCCGAAGAAGCTTCTTGGAAGAATCGATTGTGTGGCGGTTTGAACATACATGTTTAGGTGGAGGAACTGCGCTAATTTTCTTTCCTAAATTTGACCCAGCACCTCATCACAACAAGACGATTTTTAATTGCCATAAACATGCACGGCCCATGAATCTAATACCATGACACGTCATAAATTAGGTCATCGGCCCAGATCTGAATACGTATTGAAGATAAAAATCAAAGCCATCAAGCGGCCAAACCAAAATACTGACTTTTGACATGTATGACCAGTTAGTTTAACGATACCGTATTTATATTTAAGAATTTTTTTTTTAAATTCGATTCACAATAATGTGAGGACAATATATAGTGTAGTGTGTCAAATATTTAGATAGGGCCATTTACCCACTCCTGATTACACTTATGTTGTTCTGACTTAAACGCATATTACTAGATATTGAATTTTATTACAAAAGTCTTTAGTCGTAGTAGAAATGGAACCATACACTTGTATACTTATTTTTATTTTCTCGTACGGGATGGAACTTACATTCAACACCGTACACATTGTTTGACTTCTCTCATTTTTACATGTGAAATTGTGATTGATCGGTATGTAAAAATGCCTACTTTCAAGAAAACAAACGAAGTATTATTAATTTTTCTACTTATTGTTGTGTGTAACGTCTTATTTTAAAAGTATGTTAACAAAAAAACCACAGTACTAACTTACTATTGGAGTTTATGAAACATTGACAATTAGTGAGCTCCACTCCACAGCCACCAGGGTTGAAAGCATTATTGATTAGGTAGGCATAGTAATTGCAACGTTAAATATCCTAATCCCATTTGCGATTGAAGAGCATCAAAAGGGGGTCTACGAAGCTGTAGTTGCCGAGTAGGTTAGCCGACCAACTAATAAATCATTGGGCTAGCAATTAGCTCACTAGTTAGCTACCAGTTTATTAATTCACCCCCCCCTCTCGCGTGATGAAGTGGCCATGTTCTCTTGATGTTGAACTCTACACTGCATGACCAAGATATCACAGCCACAAGAGTTTGGGGCTTTTTACAAGTGGAGTGGGGCCTCTGCTGAGTATGTTGATAGATCAGTGTTTAACCTTTGTTTTTTTTTTTATATAATTCGGTGCAGTCCCCGTTATCACAAGTTAGAAAACTTACCAAATATGTATTTTAGTGCCAACTGAGCCGGCGTGGACCAAAAACCCTGTGATGTCAAACCGACCAAATTAAAACAGTCCAAACAGTAAGTTTTGGCTTTTACTCGAGACAGTTGTAGTTTTAGGCCAAAACGGAAAAGAAACTAAACGCTGTTGAGACGTAAACTAAATCACATCGGACCGTTTTCCGGCCATAAGTTATAGTGTGAAAAGGAAGATATACAAATGTGTACAGTTTCCCTCGGTTCTAAGCCATTGACAAGGCTTTGGGAGTGGACTCTTGGCAAGATTGCCATCCCACGCGGTTTACAGTTTATTCCACCATTTGTAGTATTTTATACACTCACTAACGACTAGCAAGTTGACCGGGAGCTTCGTATATTATTCCTTAATACTGGCATATGCCATACGTTATTATATATAATTACAACATTATTCCTTAAATATACATTCTTCTCCTACACGCAAATGCTACTTGTCGTATGTAACCCATACTCTTGATTCTTCACCTTCCGGTCCTTCCCCTAGTTGAGCAGAGAACATGTTCAATTCAAGGCTACGGTTATCTGCCTTGGTCAGTTCCTCAAGTAACCTATAATTTAAGTCGGGTTGAAAAAGTTTTGGCTTAATTTGGCCAATGCTCTACGCAAGCGGTACTTTATCTACATACATTCATTGTACATGCTTCCTCCCTTTCGGGAAGAGAGAATTTGAGAAAACGTAATGCGCCATTCTTCTAGCAATGGTTGAATTAGAACGTATCCTACTCATCGAAAATAAAAGATTACCGCTCTACAAATGCAACCCCTGTCAAACAGTTATAACTTGCACTTTTTTTATGCATTCACTATATTTAGTTTACATATTGAAGCAACGTATCGCTTAACTGTGAACCAATATGCATGTTTTTTTATATTAATGTAAAAGCATATCTCATGGCAAGGAAATGGCAACTCGTTGACAAATGGATTGGGACTTTTGGTAGCTTTGAACGTAGAAAAAGTCAGATGCACCCTGGTTGCATCTAGGCAAAGGCATACCCGTAAATATAAGGCGGCCAGATCGCGCCACAGCAGAGGGGAAGTTGGGAACTAACTAAATACACATAATAAATAAATAATATATAGAGATGAATGTGGCCAACTTGGTCACTTGCTATTTGCACTTACAACAAGAAACATTCTACCATTTATAAATATTTTTTTTAATTACCAAAAAAAGAAAAAGAAAACAACGTTGATTTATTATTTTTAACACATGTTAAACGGCCTCAAAGGTCTGTAGGTATGGCGGTGGTTCGTGGCATTTTTGCTGACTTTTACCCTAACTGGTCACTCTGTATTATCTGAAAAATTGGGAGAAAAAAAATATAATAAGCAGAGAAGCTTCTCTGGGTAAGGTCCTAAGATCCACCTGGCATCCAAATCTATTCCACGAGTTCCACACGGGAACACCACATCCGGAGCCCCCAACTTCTATCCTTCTTCTTATCCAACCCACAGTTTTTTCCTTTGTTGATCTCTTCCCCATCAGTCGCCACTCGCCCCTCGCCACCTTAACATACCTATCAATTCGAAAAATGAAACAGTTCAGTCTCATGTTCGAGTCACTTTTAGATAAAACATTGAAGAAAAGAAATTTTTTTGGTAATGTCGATCGATATTGTACCTTTTTTTGAATTTGCTCATGAACGTTCCATTTCATTTTGAGTCAGTTAATATGTCAAGACATGCCCCTAGCTCAAAATTCGGCAGGTCTTCTTACGAATTAAGAATTAATTTCATCCACTCCAAAAGCATTGGTAATAAAAAAGAAAAGGCAAAAATAAAGTAAATTTGGTAATGAATCGACACAAATCAGCAAGTGTTTAAGTTGAGGGGTGAATCGACAGAAATCAAATCGGAAGAATGTCATAAACTCATAAGGCAATCCTTAACTTGTTCTGGAAGAAAACGATAAACAACCGACGTGCACGTGCGTGAACCTCATGTGCTGTAGCTGGATAGTGAGCACAACGAGAGAGTGTGAGATGTGTGCAGAATATTTCACATTTGAAAACCGTCACAAAAACACGCACTCAGCCATTTCTCTTCAAATACAAAACCAACATGCACAAGCGCAAGCGGCCTACTCTACCTTTCCGCCACCACCCACAACTCACGCCGACCCGGTTTTGACTCGGTTTCGCCACTCATCCAACAACGTAAATAACACGCCATAAAATTAATAAATTAAATAACATATGTGCATCGCTGATTAATTTTGGAAAAAGAATTAATTGAATATTCCAATTACTTCAACAGCATGTTTATACAATAACAAAATAATCCAAACCCGTAAAACAAATCAAAGAAAAAACTGAAATTACACGCCGGATATTAATTCCAATATTTAATTCCTAATTTAATGTCTACAGAAGCTGATTCGCAGAGTCGACCGGAATCGTCGTCCTAATTTTGTTGGTCCTGTGAAATCTCGATTTTGGGCTTCATCATCAGTAGAAGCCTGGGTTTCTTCGTCGGGTGGGGGCTCTCCACTTCGTCCTCGCCGGAGACGAAGAAGTCGCGGGAGAACTCGGGCAACGCCGGCAGGTTCAGGTCAAACGTCTCTCGCGGGTGGCCGTGGCTGACCGCGTGAGAAGTTGACCCGACTCCCTCAGAGGAAGTTATAACGCTCGTGGTAGCGGTGGTGGTGGCTGTGGATCCGGCGGCGCCCCCATCGTAGTGGCAGCGCTTGTGGCCGCCCAAGGCTTGACCCGTGGGGAAAGACTTGTGGCAGATGGAGCACTCGTGGGACCTACCGGAAGCTGTGGCGGTGGCGGCGGCGGCAGAGGTTGTTGTGGTTGATGACGTGGACGGGCCTTCGATGGCCGATCCGGCTGCAGAGCCTTTCCGGTGGCTGGCCTTGTGGCCTCCGAGCGCCTGGTAAGAAGAGAAGACCTTGTCGCAAACAGAGCACTTGTAGCTCAGCTTAACCGGCGGCGCTGCTGACGTGGAGGGCTCCATAGAGGGGGATTGAGTGATGATCTGGTGTGAGGCGGCGGAGTTTGTTTCTTTAGTGTCTGTGGCGGCGGTGGCGGTAGTAGAGGCGAGGTCTCCACCTCTGTTTCCGCGGGCAAGCATGATGAGGCAGATAGCAAGATACTCCTCCTCGGAGTGAGGGGTGTCGAGGCGTGGACGCTTGGAACGCTTGCGTTTGGTCCACGGCTCGGCATAGCCGAGGCTGGAGGCCTCGTTCTCAAATGGGAAAGGAGAGGGTCCGGCGGCTGTTGGCGAGTTGAGAGCTTGCAGAGCCATCTGATGATTGCTGAAAAAAGCTTTAGAGAGAGAATGGGAAGAGCGAGAGAAATGAGAGCTGAAAGAGTTGAGAGTTGGAAGTGAGAGTGGGAAGTAGGGAAGGGGGGCTATATAAAGGAACGGGGGAGAGAGGGGAAGAGGAAATTGCGTGACAAGTGGTACAAGTAATAGTGTCCGGACCAAGTGTCCGTATTTAAATAAATATCATATGTCCCATTTTTTTTTCCCGGAAAATTAGAGAGAGACTTGAGGAACTTTACCACGTTCAGATTTGGGTGGGGGGAGGTTGAGTTGAGTTTTCTTGGTGGCCAAGGAGGACTGAAGTCGGTCAAACAGTTCAAGTGGTGCCCTCTGGGTGCGTGGGCCCACACTGGACTCAGTTTTTTTTTTTTTGGTTAACTTTTTAACTACAAAAGACTTGGGGCTCTTTTACCAAAAAAAAAAAAAGACTTGGGGCTCAAACACCAAAGACGGTTTCAAAGTCAAGGGTCTGGAGAGGGCGGACACTTTCTAAATCTTGTAATTTCTAAACAAACGCGGTACGGTTTTCCGTGTGGTTTTAGGGTTTCTGTTGTACTGATTATCAAGTGTTACTACGATTACATATAATATTTTGAGAGATTTAAGTATGTTGTTGGGGGTTTTGTTCGTCTTAGTTTTGCACATTAAGTTGCTTGGATTATAGTGTACATAATTTAATTTATAAAATTTACGAATAAAAAAAATATAATTTAAGCCATCAGATCATAATACTGTGCATTTAATTTTATACGCAATTTAATTTCCATCATATAGGTTTGGATATTTTAAAATCTGTTATAAGATTGGAAAAGATAATAAACGCAATTAGTACTACGGTCTGATTTCTTCATTTGGAAGTGAGAGGTTTTAGGTTCGAATATCGTGGTTGGCGAATTCGATACCAAATTAGGTTGCATATTATGTGGCTTAGCCGAACTCCCCCTTCCCCTAGTGTAAAAATATCGATAAACTTAAAAATAAAAAATAAAATAAAAAAGCGGTCAGTCCAATCCAATTTCCAATCAGAAGAAGCCTACGTCGTATTGATCCCCACATTCAAGGAAGCACAGCGACTTTTCCCTGGTGCTTTCGATCCCTTCACACACTGTATTACTAGATAATTTCGGAGAGTTTATCCGGTTGGAAGTTGGCATCTTAAGATCTCATCAAAACACCACCGTCATTGCTTAGTTAGGGGGTGACTAAGGGCCTAATCACGTGTAGTGTTTCGTTAGTGTGGTGGAGATTAACTGTGCTTAACTAGTGGCGCACACAGACCGTGGGTGTGGGGTCTTTTGTGCAAAGCCTAATTTTAGGCACGCCATTTGCAAAGGTTGGGGAAATCTTTGTCTTTAATTGGGCTTTGGAATCTGATTACCATAGAAAATCTTGTATCACGTTACTTTAATTAGCCTGTAATTTGTGAAGCATAATTCCTTCCTATCACAAATGCCATAAAAACTTTGATTGGTATCCCATCATGCTAGCATTAATTTTCTCAATGACCTAATGAGCATTCCACAATCACACAAATGAAATTTTGTTAACTGCTAAATGTAAGGATAAATGCTATCTAAATTTGCTTAAAATGTAGTACTACTACCACATTATTTTGCTTCACTTTACGAGAGGTTTCTTGATTTGGACGCTTGTATCACATAGTTGTATGGTCAAGATGGATCATAAATGAGCGAAGGGTGCCTGAATACATGAAATAAGCATAGGTTGTAAGTGTTTTTATGATCATAGAAGTAAGGATGACTAGATAGCATGGCATGATCATACGATGTAATTTCTCTTACTTTACCCAAATAAATATGAGGTGACGGTAAGTTCATAAATCGACTCTCTTTAACTACATCCCTTTAACATTCCCTTAAAAAAAAAAAAAATTGCTAACGTGTTACGTATACGTTGTTAAGATAGCTCATCGCAATTGTAAGAATCTTGTAATTAATAACTTTTTTTACGGAGTTCCGTCTCGTTTTATATTTAGTTACTCTATTGTTTGTGTGTTTCAGCTTCATAGGTCTCTATTCTAAAATACAAAATAGTGAATCTGTATTCCATACCCTACTTTCTAAATTAATGTACACGTTTTTGCAGCCACAACATCCTTTTAAGTTTTAACCAATCGGAATATGGCAATTTAAATGCATCATAGGACCCATATATTGTCGTATACTCAACACTCACCACCATTCTCAGTCGTTCTTATTACAAATTTTTGTTTGACCTGGAATATAATTATCTCATCATTTTTGGGTCAGCTTTCTGGAAAGACCTTTTGATTATTCGAAAAGCTGAGAGTTCAGTACTAATATTCATCAAAGAAATTGAAATCCGGTAAATTAAAAAAAAAAAAAAATCGAGGAACTAAATAAAATGCTGTACAAATTGTTTTGTTACTCTCTTATCTGTTTGAATTTGACTCCTCCATTTAGATGGCTTTTCTTGGATGGTCGCCTCTCGTGCTTGCTGGAAAGTAACAAGAACATATGCGAAGCATCTGGATCCTTGAAACGTGGCTATGCCGACTATTTATATCTGCTGACCTAGTCACTTGTTTTTGCTTCCATCGTCGGTTCATCACTAAGATATTTTTCTTTACAATTTTTTACCCATTTTCCCCCACGAACAATATTTAGCCTCATGGGTTAATTATCGTTTTTCTATGTCATAATAAATATTGCACTAAGCTAGACTGAGAGCGAAAATAATTTGTACTCGAGATGCAGTGTAAATTACGTCAACAGTTAGTCACAAATGTTATAATTTTAAGAAAAGTGTGAGTATTTGTTACTTGGAAGAAATGAATGCCTTAACCCCTAAGAAATTTACGTGGACACGTATGAGATTCGAAGCTCACACTCCACTTATGTTATGAAGGACAAGGAGCTGCCATATGGCCTCCTACTCAAAGGGCAGGCCGGTTGCTGCCTTTTGGCAACAGCATTAAGAAATAAGGACACTCAACAGAGAGGCATGGCCTACCATTTGAGTTTATCTGCGTTTCCTCTTAATTCTAATTAAAATAAAATCATTAATAAGTTGCTTTTTGGCTAAGAAGAACTAGACCCCAGATTTAGGGTTCGACATCACAAAAGAAGATGAAGAACACGTACCCATGAGTTAGGAAGAAATTGTTGAGCACAATCACGTCACGTGGTATAATTAATCCGTCTATTGCGATATAAATAAATAACGAGTTTATATTTTAAATGAAATTAGTTATCTTACATTGTGCCTGGTATTCTACACGCATTTTTACGTGGTTGGGGACGATGACAAATGGCATTGAAATCATGTTTTACAATTTGGATGTTGCTATGCTACCATACATATGCAGGGACACCCACGAAGTAGATGCCGTTTTGCAACTATTTAAGAATTATTAATTATATTTAATTTTTATAAGAACATCATGCGGTTAACCACTTGTTGAAACGACAAGTAAAAACAAAGCAGAAAAAACGAAAAAAAGAATAGAGGTAGGTGGGCATGCAAAGATAAGTGTTAAGAGTAGTGAATGGGTAGAGAGCTGGGAAGGTGAAGTCACTGCTTACCTACGATGTCGTTTCGTTTAGCGAGCAGCCGGTAAACGAGCGCTTAAGTCTAAATTTCTACTTAATCAACCATACCCAGATATACAAAACACGACTTCCATATTTTTCAAAAGAAAATTATTAAATTAATTTAGAAGCATCCCCAAGATTCTCCCGGTTAACAAAATGCTTCTTAAAAAAAAAAAAAAAAAAAAAAACATGCGACATGTGATTTTTGCTGACGCATGTGATTACTGATTAGATTAGATATGGCAAGTCTATCTGCAATATAAAATTATATTTTCGTGTCAAAAGCTTAAAGGTTTTTTTCTTCGTAAGCAGATTAACTTTACAAAAACTGAGATGATGCACTAACAGTATCACAGTAAATTACGATAACACCAATTGTTGAAGTCATCACAAATGTATATTGTTATCGACATGAGTTCGAGAGAAAACTCTACAACCAACTGGGGAGTTTGAAGAATTTCGGAGGTGCGAACTGCTAGTGATGTGCAGCGCAAGAAAATAGAAAATGTGATGAAAAAAGTGGTGGGTGTTTGGAAGCGTGTGACGGTGGGTTTGCATGTGGAAGAAGCTAGGAAGGGGGCCGTTTTGAGATATGTTGACGTGCGTTTTGGTACAGTTACAAGGGTGGCAGACACCGTCTGAACCCTTTCATCCTTTCCTTGCGTTTTCGTCAGTGGGCCCTTACGTTGGGCCTCGTGGGCCTACTCAGTTGTACTTGTAAAGTGCACTATTTGGTATGTTTGATCGAAACCCATTGAATAGAAAGAAAATTAATGAAAATAGTTTGAAAATTTTGAGTTTTAACTATAAGAACAAAATAAAGGATAAAATGAATAGTAGCATGATTGATTTTTTAGTGTACAAATATGATTTTTCGTTAAAGTGAACAGTACCGCGGACTTTTCGTTAAAACTCTCTTGGATATAAGCCCAAGGGCCATTTTGCTAAAGTTTCGAGGTCCAACAACTATAAAGTAGAATAAGTACGTGTAAATGCACATCCAATTACATAACATTGGAGAATTTAAGGTTTTTTTAGCTAAAATAGTCTATGAGATTGGTATAACTCTTCGTTTTTATCTTTAAGATTTAAAATCAATAAAAATAGTCTTTAAGATTGTCTACCATTAATCATTTTAGTCATTCAGCGAGAAATCTTTATAAAACTAAGGATGATTGATTTCAGGAAACACTTTTATCAATTTTGAATTTCATTGATCAAAATGATGAGTTATAACAATTTCAAATAGCATTTTAACTAAAAACTCGAGAATTTAATTCGGTATGTGTAAGGAATATTCACAATAATTTCTCCGCCGATACCCTACTTTCTCCTGCACAACAATAAAATAGTGGCAGCATGAATCACGAGGAATTGAAGCATGACATATGAACACGATCCGCCTTGCTCCTTTTCCAGCTCCAATATGCCAAAACTATTGCTGGACTTACATATTTCATAAAAGTGATGATGTAAAGATAGCGTGCCTTTCCGCCCACAGCATCAATCACGCCCTAGTGGAAATAATTTTTCTCTTCATGCACAATTCTGTTTATCACTCATGTACTGACAAACAAACAAAAAGAGTAGCGTTTTACTTTCAATTCCAAATTCAGTAATTTTGTTCATTTCTTCACTAGAAAAATTTATATACGATAAATTACAATTACATTATCAAATAATATTACAAAGTCATCTATAATTTAACCAGTGAATTTAATTTATCGACTGTACATTTAATGTCTATCAAATCTTAATCGAATTATACTCTAACATGTGAATTAGTAAAACAATAAGGATGTACTATCCACACATCTCATTTTACTTCTCACACACTCCTTGATAATTTATGTCTGTTGATCTTCTTTAATTCATCCGATCCGACGATCGAAAATTAAAAAAATATGTGAGAAGTAAAATAGGATCCGTGAATATCACATTCCAAACAATATTTATGACCAACATTTCGCATATGAGTTGCGAGTTACGAGTTACATCAAACTTGCGTGAAACCGAAAAGCTCGCTGCTGCTCGTTGAGAGTTGACGGGCCCGTTGCTATTTTGTTCTGATGCTTCAACTTCATACCATCTCACTTTTCTCGTCGAATTCCTTGACTTTCTCACCCGCCGTCGCCTTCCGCACTCCCGCAGCTAAAACTTTGTCCTCGGCCGCCGCCGCGCTTCCCTTCTTTCGTTTCCCAAATTACCGATCCGCCCGCCCTCCCCGGCGCTGCTCTGGTAAAGCTCTAAGCCCTGCAAATCCTCAGCCCTGAATCTATCGATGAATTATAAAACGTGTATTTTAGCATGTTAATTGTCAGTGTTGTTTTGATTAAGGATGGATCTTTAAGCTTTAGAGCATCGTAATTTCAATGAAATTTCAGAAAATTTCCAATGTTTTCCTTATTTTTTTGTCAAGCAATGGGTAATTTGGTCATATGAATTTATGGGGTTGGTGGATATTTTTATTTCTTTTTCCTAAAATAAAACAAAAAAAAGAAGGTGCAAGATTGTGATTGTATAATTTCTGAGCCTCTCTGTTTTCCCTTGTGTGGTTAGGGGGTAAGTGTGAAGCACTGAAAGTTGAAGCAATGGCGGCGGAAGACGGTCAGGATCTTCGCCTTGCTAGAATTTCATCTGCTATCAGAGTCATCCGGGACTTCCCCAAGCCAGGTACTTCTTTTTTTTACATATTATGCTGTTTGTAATTCAATTATTTTGCATTATTTTTCGGCATCTTAGTTTTTGCTTTCTCATATGTAAGTAGAAATATGTTTTTCTCTAGTGGGTTCGCGTCGATTCGATCAGGTTTTGGAGGTTTTTTACTTACTGTTGGGTCCAATTTGTCATCTGGGTGGTCTGTAATTTCTGGGTTTTAATTGATTTCTGGTCTCTAATGGAGGTTTTTTGGTGTTTGAATGTGTGAGTTGTCCTTGACTTTTTGTGGCAGGGATTTTGTTCCAAGATATTACCACATTGCTCCTGGATACCAAGGCTTTCAAGGACACTATTGATTTGTTTGTTGAGAGGTACAAGGACAAAGAAATCTCTGTTGTTGCAGGTAATTCAATACATGATCTTTCACTTTTAGCCAGTTTACCCTGAATTCGCTTGTTCAGGAAATTTTAAGGGCAGTTCAGTCGCGCACCACCTATGATTGGTCACTTATGAGATAAACTTTTATGGATAAGTATGTCATTTATGCGCAATTTAGTTCCTTTTTTTTTTTTTTTTTTCCTAACTAAACCATAAACAGAGCATAGTCTTCAGCATTCTGGCATTGCAGTTGTGTGGAATTTTAGCTTAGGTGGTTTTTATTGATTTAGTGGCTGTTTCGTTGTATATACTGAACGTCGGGTTAAATTTTATTATGACATAACGCAGGTGTTGAAGCTAGAGGTTTTATATTTGGCCCTCCTATTGCCTTGGCCATTGGGGCAAAATTTGTGCCCTTGAGGAAGCCAAAGAAGTTGCCTGGTAATCTATCACACCCTTTTCCTTTTCCTCCTTTTAAACTGCATAAATCTTTTAGCTTTGAGAAGTTTCTCCATATGAGGGATTCGAGGGATTCATTGGTTAGTGACTGGCTTACTGGGAGAATTAGGATAATTTAATTTTTACTCCCATCTCGTTAAATTGTCTTTGTGATATAATTCACAACGTTAATTTTAATTTAACTCACATGATGGATTGATCATGTATGCATCTTTTGTTACAATGCAAATGTTAACTGATCCAGTTACAGTCTAGGTCTTTAGCCATATGTTGGACATAGTGCTATACCCAGTTACGTTGAGAAATTCTGAGTAACAGGAATGAGTGTTTATGCCCTTGAATAGTGATTTTGCATCACTTTTGATAAAACAAGAAGAGTAATCCTCTCAACGCCCATAAATTAAATCAAAATCAGACATTCACATAGACGCTAAAACTCACCGTTGCTTTAAAAAAATCACAACGATTATAACAAGTGCTGGGTTAAATATGTTTTTTCCTTCAAAAAGTTTGCTCCCCTGCATGAGTCAGTAGTGTTATTGGATCTTGTGGCTTTTCCAACCACCAATTGTTTAAGATATCATAAACAGTGAAGTTCTGCTATGTTTATTTTACATTTTATTTACCCGTCAAGTATCATGTGCTTTCAATAAATATAATTCTCAAGATGGAATGTAATCTCATATGTCTATGGTTCTGCAGGGAAGGTTATTTCTGAAGAGTACTCTTTGGAGTATGGAACAGATAAAATAGAGATGCACGTGGGAGCTGTAGAAGCCGGTGAACGTGCCTTGATCATAGATGACCTCATTGCAACTGGGGGAACCTTGGGTGCTGCCATCAGGCTTCTTGGTAGTTTATCAAACCACAAACTTTATGTCTAAGTGTTTATGGTCGGAATTTTTTCCCTCAACTTTTATTCCCATTTGGGCAGGAATTAAGATGCATAGCATAATACAGGTTTACATCTCGATGTAGGAAGGGGTCTCTTAGAAATTTAGGCATACGACCAATTCAAATGTAGATTGGGAATTCAGCACAAAATTTTCCCTCAATGCATGGTCTAATAGACGGTCTGTGGAAGAATTTGACTATCTTTTGAATCAAAAGCGTTCATGCGTTTAGGTTAAATTCTCTAGCAAGAAGCAAGGGTGTGGTAACAAGAGAAGAATTATCTCCCCTCCTAATCTCTCTCTCCTTCCCTCCCCTCCTACTTGAACAGTTACGGTTAAGCCACATCAACATCTTATATTGATTTTTTATAGAGACAATAAGACAAAAAGCAAAGTGTGTGAGAAGGGGAGGGAAGGGGATAGAATCCTACTCCGTGGCAACATGATGACAATGAGAAATCCAGCACTAGTTTAATGCATTATTTCAATATTTTAAGTCTGCCGCTGCAAGCATTGTGATTGTATTGTCAGTTTCACATTTGGCTCAGGGATATGAGGCCTTGCACAACTCACATGTTTGCTTTTTCTGTTGCAGAGCGTGTAGGGGTGCATGTCGTTGAGTGTGCCTGTGTAATTGAATTGCCAGAACTAAAGGTATGACATTAAAACACCCTTGACTTGTAGATGCTTAAGACGGAATCTGGATTTTCGTTGTATATTTTGGTACATTGAATGCACTACTCATGTTCTTTTATGGATTGTTTCAGGGTCGGGAACGATTGGGGGAGAAACCATTGTTTGTTCTAGTTAGCGGAGAAGCATGAGCATGGTTTCTTTTGGGGCTGCAGATTTTCAAGATACCAACTTGATTGTTAGCAGGGGCGTACGTTTGATTATGGGTTTGTTTTCATTGGGTGATTGAAGAGCTGAAAAAAAAACTTTGGTATATGTATGTACTATGCAGAAATAAGTTGTTTTTCTGTTTCACTTATAAATCTGGTAATATTTTATCAAACAGGTGATTTAAATATCAAGTCGCCAAAGTGAAATTATCTCAGTTATCTCGTATTTATCTCTTCAATATTGAAAGAGACCCTTGAGTTCGAATATTTTTCCTCCTTCAATAGAAAAATAATATTCTCGAATTGCATCCCTCCATTCTCGGTAGATGCCTGTTTATCCAAACCATGAATGGAATTAAGCATATTACGGTTTGGCGAACTGATTAAGAGCATTTTCAGAGAAGATGTTACAAGTTTTATTTGGAATGTTTTCGGTTTTAAATGAGATGCCAAATTCTTACATGAATCGACATTCTTCACTTTGCTGCTAAATTTGAAGACAACATCAAAAGTTTTGTTTTGTTTTATTTTACGAGTTCACATGTTTCTTTATTTTTCTTCACTTATTGATTAGTTTAAATTTGACTCACTTAATTTTATAAATAATTAAAAAGCATTTTAATTTGAAATCAGTTGGAATGTGAGACTTTAAAAAATGTTTTCTTGCCGCATTAGCTATAAAACTGAAATTTGGCATCTCAATTAAAAATGTTCTAAGATAGTATTTTTGAAGTTTATAAGATTAAGATATTGTTTTTGGTACATTATGTCCGACCTAGAAAGCCAATAGTCTTTGACTTCAAAATGTTAAAGTATTTAAAAAGTAATTAAGAAGTATTATAAGGCTAACATAAATGTATTAAGTTAAGTGCTGGGTTTTAGTCTCCATTAATCAACACTCGATTATGCAAAAAGGTGAATGTGGCCACATCACAAAGTTAGTATAATATAATAATTATCGGCTAGTCAGTATCAAAATATTATCTTTTAACCGACTGGCTAATAACAATTAATAATCAAGATTTATCAAGCTAAGCTAGTTTGACATTTCACATTGTCCAGAATCTGCCTGACTTTGTATTTTGTCAAAAAACCAACTGTTAATTTGATACATAATTGATGTGCTATATATGAAGCTGGAACAACAAAAAGCAGAAGAATAGGACAACGACAAAGCATAGCGCCTTGCCTTAAGTAATTTAATTAGAAAGATTAATGCATCTTTATTCCCTAATAATCTGATTAATTTAATAGGATTAATGCATCTTTTGATTCCCTTAATAGAAAGCTTATCCTTGTGATCATTTTAAAAGGATTAGTGCTTTTTTATTCCCGATTAAGTCTCCATTAATTGTTTTAGGTCTCCGTTAACTCTCTCTATCAAGCTAAAAATGCAATGGACGTGTGATTTTTAATTAACTAGTTACAAGAGTGGTTAAAAATACAAGCTACTTTGACGTTATACGTCTATATGCTTTAAATTTTTTAATTAAATTTGATGCTCAAGTCATGTAATATCAGGGTTTGGTTACAATAATACGTATCATTCAATGATACGTGTTTAATTTATGCAAGATCTAACTATTGCAAAAATCCATTGAATCTCTTTATGCATAACCCTTGCTTTCCAAATCACTTAGTGGCACAATGTCTACTCATTTCAAATGTTTGGCACAATTATAAGTAATACATTTTAAATGGTAACTAAAATATGAGATATCAGAATCACTTTTCATTGTAATTTAATAATTTTACTAATCCAGTTTCAATTATCGATTGTATGATTATGTTTGCAAATAATGAGCTACTTAAATTAGAAACCATGAAACGACAGTTCATAATGTTGAATCAATGAATCAAGTTGCAACTAAATATTAAGTGTTGTATCAATTAGTGACACGATACTTTCGTTCTCTCACATTATAATAGGTAAATAAGTAACATTAAAATAATAAATATTAAGTGATAATATCATTAAGTGATACGATACGATCGTTTTCTCAAATTATAATAAGGTGAGTAAGTAACATTAAATGAGGGTATCAATCATGCATGAACACAAATTCCTCACGAACAGCAACGTGGTGTTCCCATGCTGGCAATTTTTTCATCTTTCAAAAACCCTATGGTTGCACACGTTGCATGATATATATATGATATAGGGTTATTGTTTATATATATACTTCACACCATCTAGGCACCCACCTTTAATTGCTCTTATCAAAGATGTGTGTATACCTACAGTCATAGCCTCAACACATCTTTGTTCTTTTTTTTTCATTAATTGGTTTTTGACTTATTCAATTCAATTACAAAAAATTGATATAGGTGTGTTGAGAGAAAATAAAAGTGTGTAGAAATCATTACTCTATTTAAAAATATATGTTACGTTTACCATCTATTTGCATCATTGTTTGTATCATCTTTCTGTAGAGCTTAACACAATGTGAGTCTCATTTCTATTAAAAAGATAATACAAATGATGGTACAATTAGATGCTAAGAATAACATTTTTGCAATAGAAGGGTGCTAGCCTAGCTATATACTGAATGGCTATGCATGTTTTTTTTAGGTAAACCCTAATGCAAGTTTACAAATATTTTAGGAAGGAGAAAAAACCAAAACAATGAAATCATTGGTGTGAAAGGGTCACGTGGCTTGAGCTTAGGACAAAAACCATGAATCAATTAGGTTTAGTTTGGTAGTTCATGAAACACAAACAGATAATATAGTTGTCATTCTTTGGATCTGTTAACCCTTGAAATCATGGAAGGACGAGAATGCATATGCATTAGACAGACGGAGTTTTATTTTCTCTTATTAAGGAATAAAATCAGATTTTTAGGGATTTTTCAAATTATGGGTGTGTAGATTTTATTCCCCAAACAATTAATTTGCTTATGTGTTTTTTTCTTGGGTATAAAATTTTTATTTTTGTTTCTTCAAACTCTTAAACGTCGTGCAATGGCCGGTGCCGAATTTCCAAAATATAATGAAGACATTATCGAACTTTCGTTCCAACAACAGATATACGGTGCCTAATAATATATGCATAAAAATGGTCTCCTTCTGACGCGTGGGACTTGAGAACTCCAGCACAAGACGCGCAGCAGATAAAGAAGTTTTAGTGAGGGACAGTTGGGTACGTGTCCTCTGTTCATACCCCAAAAACCCTACCTAGAAGGCTTTGCAGTTGGCTGCTTAATTAAACGAATCTCAAAAGTAAAACTCTTTGTTGACGTAACAAAACAACCATCTATAGATCGAATTATACTAGATTATTATATAATACATTGTCGATTACCTCTCTAATAATTTATCGATCCACTTCATACTAATTTTATTGCATCTTTTGTTATATATGTAACAAAGTTCATATATAATTTTATTTTATCAAATTTATATGTTACCATATTGAAGTTGTAATACACATTAGATAAGAATCAACTTCATCGATATTTTTGATTCATATATAGTTTCCTAATGTAAGATGCTTATGTTGCCATACATTATTCTATTAAGAACACAAAACTTGTGATCGTGCGAAAGAAGCATTTTTATGTGTCAGACAGTTTAATAAGAGAATATTTTCATAATAAATCATTATGTTTCCAATTCCCATCAACATTAATTAACAAAGGTTGATTAAGCTCTTAAATCAATGCACCAAGTTCAAAATCTTGAAGGCTGTGATCATTGGCAAATCCACATTGGAGTAAGTGAAGGCTATTAACCCTCATATATGGTCCCATCCTTGCCACTCATTAAAATACCCTAACAACTCTTTGTTTCCTTGGTATTTTCTAAAAGAGAAATGTTAAGGAGACTTTTTTAAAAGTGGAGTTCTTCATAGACTATTTGTTATCTCATGTTTTTTTGCACAATATTTTGTAATGGTGGTATAAGAATTAATGTTAAATTGTTAGCAGAGAATTCATGGAGAATTTCATTTTGATAGTCTCCTTAGCATTTCTCTTTCAAAAGCATAGAGAAAACTGCTGGATGACATGTCCCAAAGAGGCATAACTTGAAAATAAATGAAAATTCCTAGGCATAACTTGAAAACTGCTGGGTTTACATCTTTTTCTCATAAAATTTTTTTTTCTAAATCCGCAACTATTTTGAACAATGGCATAACCTAGCTAGTTTAAAGCAGTAGATCAAATGGCAGGCCAAAAACAGATGCTGGCTTTTGTACTTAGAGATATGGAAGAGATGAGGATGATGAGTTGTAACAAGACATTTAACTTTACATATTGTATAATGCTAGCTTGACGGTAGATTAGATATATGCATATATAACAGTGTGAGTTTTTAAGGGTTTACAAGGTGAAGACAAAGAGCGAGTTCTGCGGTTCCCTTGTCGGGGTTTTGAGTTCTTTAGAGAGCTCCCACGATGTCCTTCTCCAAAATCGGCCGTCTCTATTTTTCTTAATTTATTCCGCCAACAATTCTGATGGTTTCTATTGTATTATAATATTCAGCAACACACCATCCACGTTCTGATTGTTTGAAAAGTAGTTTGATGCTCTTGTTAATTACTTTCTCAATTCAGTCTTAAGCATTATCACAACTTAATTAGTTTAGAGAACCCTACAATGGATACCCCGACTGTTTGAGGTGGTCACTTCGTATATTATTTTTTACTTGTAAGTGAGAGGTCTTAATTAAGTTTAACTCTGGTAGATGACGAGGTCAAAACCAAATTATTATCAATGACCCATTAAGTAATTTAGTCCAAATCTCTCACCCCTTAGTGTACATATATGATTTGTATTAGTTAAGAAAACCCTAAACATAATTATTATGATTTGTATTAGTTTAGAGAACCCTAAACCTAATTATTAAACAAATCACTGATTAACTGACCTTTCAATCATTGCATTGGACTCGTTTTTTGTTCCAAATGACGCCAGTTTTGAGCTTTCCTCAATGTCTTATGTGGTTTAATCCCGTTGGACCTTCTTCTTATTTTAATCACATCATTGTATGAACTTGGCTTTCTCATGAGCTGTACTTTGCCTGGTTGTGGGCCCAGAGTGGACTCCTGATATCAGTTACAGAGAACTAGGACAAACCCCCATCCCAACAACAATCATTGGGAATTAAGAATTGCATTTTATAATTGCAAGTCTAATTCTCTTGCAAGGGGGGTCAACGACCCCTAGGGTTGAGTATATAAGTGTTTCTACTCCTTTGCTTATCCTCAGTGCAA